TAAGTAAAAATAAAAAAGACCAGTTGAACATTAAGCAAAATAAAGTTTGGCTAAATTAATTTCAGACATTTTAAGACAAAAGGCACTACTAGAGGTAATGACATGAGGAGACCAGGTTTGATTAATCAGGAAGATATAAAGTGATTACAGGGTTGTATACAATAATAAAATAGTCTCATAAAATTTATAAAGCAGAAGCTAGCAGAATTAAAGGAGAAATCAGACAAACTGCCATCACTGTAAGAGACTTTAAAACACTGCTCTCAGTAATAGATATAGGAACAAAAGAGGATATGAAGATTTGAACAGTACACTGAGCAAGCGTAACCTACAGCACTTAAGAGACACTACTGAATAAATGGAGGATACATATATTCTTTTGAAGTACATGTAGAATGTTTACAAAAATTGACCATATGGCTATACTATAGAGCAGTCTTTAAACCTTTCAGAGATTTGCTATACAGACATTTTCTCTGACCACAATGTGATTAAGTTATACGTTAATAACAAAAGAAGCTTATTACTATGGTAAACCATATGAGACTGCTGTTTTTCTGGTTTAAAAAAACATGGTTAAGTATTAGCAGTTTTATATGGTTCAATCCACAGAAAAAAGCCACACAATTGGAATTTTAAAAAATCACACTTACGAATAACTTACAGTTTTATAAAAGAAATTAGAAGATACACAAGACTATGGTTATTGATCAGTTCTAGGTACCAAAACTTGTAGGATACAAGTGAGGAAAAAATTAAGTTTTATATGTTGTATTAGAAAAGTGAAGTTAAAAATGACTGAAGTTTCCAACTTAAGAAGTCAAAAAAGGAATAGCAAAAAGAACATGATGAACTAGAAAACAGTAACAGGATCAGTCACGCAAAAACTGGTCCTTTGAGAACTAACAGGAAAAGAATCAGGCAAAAATTCTTCAAGACAAAAGGGAGAAAAAGAACATAAGTATAGATGTTGCAGAGATTAAACAAGATATTATGAATAACTTTTATTATGAATAGCTTTATGACAACCAAATTAAAAACTCAGGAGATACTCAATTCCTACAGAAACACAACTTACCAAAACTAACTACATGAAAATAAACAGAATAGTCCTATAATAATGACAAAAAATGAACTAGATGATGACTGTTGTATAACATGGTGATACAATTAATGGCACTGCCTGTACATTTAAAATGGCAAATTTTGCTTTATGTATTTTCACAATTTTAAAA